ATGTACATTGCAAGGTATGAGAAACATTGCTTTGCAGAGTTCTCTGCAAAGTCTAATCCTTGGAGTGTGTGATGGTTTTTGTTTTTGAGTTCCACTTCTTTGTCGGGGGGGTTCTGCCAGCTTATTTTTCTTGTGCTTCTGTTACCTCACAAACTTTTCTCTGCTTCTTGCATTTTTTCTTGTAGTGTTCCTTCAGAGAGGCTATTTATTCATAATTCATGATGAAATTCTTGATCACAGTGGGGGATTGAGATGGCTGTAAATTCCTTGACTCTCTTCTCAGTGAGAAGCGGGATTTATAGGGCCAGGCCTTGCATCTGGGTGACCTCTGTGAGCTGTGTTGATAAACAGAGCAGGGGACAAATGAGGCTATGCTAGTTCAGCACCTGGGCCCTAAGCCACCAGCAGCTTCTCTTCCTTTCTCCTGGAGTCTTGAGCTACCCTATAGGAAGGCTGACTTTCCTGAGACCACCAGGCTGGCCACACTGGGAGAAGAGGCTTTGAGATTAGAGGAAATGGAAAAAGTAGCTCAGCTGAACCCAGCTTTCCAAATGTCACCGACAAGGTATATGAGTGAAGCTTCATGTCTTTGGGCCAACAATCCACCTGCCTAAACTCCCAGGAGACCCCAGCTGAAAGGTGGAGCTGGAGAATCACCGAGCTGAGTCCTGTCTGAATTCCTGAACCCTAACAATGTGAGATACAGTGAACGGTAGCTGTTTTAAACCACTAAGGTTTAGGTGGTGAATAATCGGAATAAATACCCACAATTTTCCTCTTATCTGGGGAACATTCTTTCCTACGAGGATCCTTTGTAAATCGCTAAGTTTTGCTTCTCTTTTCCCAATTTCTCCTACTCAACCCGCTTTCTGCACTTTTTTTTTTCTTCTTCAAATAAAGGATGAAGCTATTACCTTCAGTTGCATGCTCCTTCTCTCTGGGAATCGTGGTTTTGCTGGAACTTTCTGAAGTTCTTTTTTCAGGCCATCTTGACACTCTCTTTTCTTCTTTATCTGTCTTAATAGTCACATTTTGGAGGCTGTAGATTGTTTCTGTCTCTTGCACATGTGAATAGGGAATGTTCAGTTTTTCTTGTGATCATTATTATTTTCTTTTGGTTTTATATGTGTCCCAGGAAAAAAAAAATGAAGAAATATTCACTTATATGGTCGTATCTATACTAGAAGTGAAATATTTCTTTCTTCATTTCAAGAAAACTGCTTCAGTTTCTTACAGAGGCACACCTTACTCGTTCTGTTTACAGCAGCCCTTGTATATGCACACACACGACAGGGAGTAATAGGTCGACTGGGAGGTTAGCGAATCTGGTAAAGATATCGCAGGTCCATCAGGCTTTGGCCAGATGGTGGGTTTCCAAACTTGCCCTTGACCATGAAGATATGATCATAATCAGTAAACATGAAATTAAGCAGTAGTTTTTTTTTTTTTTTTAAATCTTCTGGAGAATAATAAGGAGGTGATCTTTTATTTTAGTTTTTATTTGTTCTTTTTGGATAAACATGACAGTAGAATGTATTTTGATATACATACAGAAATAACTTCCCATTCTTGTGGGTGTATGTGATGTGGAGTTACACTGGTTGTGCATTCATATATGAACATAGGAAAGTTATGTCCAATGCATTCTACTGTCTTTCCCATTCCCATCCCCCTGCCTTACCCCAACTCCCTGCTGTCTAATCCTGTGAACCTCCACTTCACCCTCCTCCCTGCCTATTGTGAGTCAGCATCTGCATATCGGAGAGAACATTGGACCTTTGGTTTTTTGGGATTGGCTTATTTCACTTGCACAATGTTCTTCAGTTCCATCTATTTACCTGCAAATGACATAAATTCATTCTTCCTTATGACTGAGTAAGATTCCATTGTGTATAAGTATTACATTTTCTTTACCCATTCATCTGCTGAAGGGCATCTAAGTTGGTTCCATAGCTTAGCTATTGTGAATTGAGCTGCTATGAACATTGATGTGGCTGTATCACTATAGTATGCAATGGTATGCTGATTTTAAGTCCTTTGTGTGTAAACCGAGGAGTGGGATAACTGGGTCAAATGGTAGTTCCATTCCAAGTTTTCTGAGGAATCTCCATATGGTTTCCATGTTGTAGCACTAATTTGCAGTCCCACCAACAATGTATGAGTGTACCTTTTCCCCCATATCCTTGCCAATATTTATTGTTACTTTTTTTTTTTTTATAATTGCCATTCTGACTGGAGTGAGATGAAATCTCAGTGGTGTAGTTTTAATTTGTATTCATCTAATTGCTAGAGATGTTGAACATTTTATTTGTTGACCATTCTTGTTTCTTCTTCTGTGAAGTGTCTGTTCGGTTTTTTTTTTTTTTTTTTGCCATTGATTGGGTTATTTGTTTATTTGGTGTTAAGTTTTTTGAGTTCTTTATATATCCTGGAGATTAATGCTCTATCTAAGGTGTTAGTGACAAAGATTTTCTCCCATTCTGTAGGCTCTCTCTCTGGATTGTTTCCTTTGCTGTGAAGAAGCTTTTTAGGTTGATACCATTCCACTTATTGATTCTTGATTTTACTTATGTTTTAGGAGTCTTGTTTCCTAAACCGACATAAGTATTAGATATAGTTTCTTTATTTCTTAGAATACAAATGGCAATTTATTGTTAATAAATATATCACTAATTTATTATTTCTGCTAATTTGTTATTTATTGCAGCTCAATTTTACTTATAATATGAAAGATTCAGGGTCTTTTAGAAGACAATCTATCCAAACTCAAAAAGGCTTTGCATTTTCATTATTACATTTGTCCAAATTTTTTGGAAGCAAACCTCATTATTTTGATAGTTCATTATAGTTCATTATCTAACCCCAAAAGATTAAAATTATTTTCAACATCTCTACAAAACCATGGTCATATGTAAATATTTAGAAATAATATGATATCATCAAATATCTAGGCTATAATTATATTTCTGTAATATGCTTATTATTTTTATACTATGTGAGCTGAATCCAAAAAGATTCAAGAATTGCTATTGGCTGATTTATTTTTTTAAAATTTCTTATTATTTAAGTTTTACTTATTGAGGTAAAATTTGCACAGTTGGGTATCTTTTGATATGTAGATTCTCACCCCATTTTTTCTTTTTTCTTTTTGGGCTGAAAAAAAGGGAACCATTTGTCTCATAGAATTTCTTTTGTTCTAACCTCTGATTTTTCTGTTGATCACTGTTTAGCTCTAGAGACTTGTTTCAATTGATTTTCCTTTAAAAAAACAGCATTAGTTTGTTTGCTGGTTTATCTGTTTTTGTAGAGGCTACCTTGGAGGCATTGGTTTGATCAGAAGACACATAATTTCTGGTTAGTGGTATTGTGAATCCCATGCCCCCCAACACAGAAGGGGTTAAAAAGTGAAAACTTCATTCTTTCAGTTTTTGTTTTTAGCTGGAATGTCTACAAAAAGCCTCCGTTCAGCCATCATTATGTTTCCTAGAGATTCAGGTCACTTTGTAGTACCATTTTCAAAGTGACCAGATGGTTCCTCCTATCTTCTGAAAGTATTCAGCGAGATACATGGGTTTAAATTTTTTTTTGGTTTATACGAATAAATGTCATGTGTTATCAATGACATTTCATATGTTCGACATAACAGAGTTGTGTATGTGCTTACAAGATCCCAATTTTAACTAGTGGTATCTCTTCAGATTGGCTCATGATGCCCATTTGGAATGGTCCTTATAAATTGCGGTAGATTCCTTGCCTTTATTTATGAGGACACTAGTTTTTTTTTTTTTTTTTAGGGGGGTATTGGGAACTGAACCCAGGTATGCTTAGCCACTGAGACACATGCCCAGATACTTTTTATGTTTTATTCAAGACAGGGTCTTGCTGAGTGGATAGTACCTTGATATGTTCCTGGAGCTGGCTTTGAACTTGGGAACATCCAGCCTCAGTCTCCCCAGCTGCTGAGATTGTAGGCGTGCGCCAACCTGCATAGCTGTGTGGCAGTGTTTTAATGAGCTTTCCTGTCCCTGTGGTCCAGAGAGCAGACAAGAGTAAGTTAGAGGAGGAATCTGTTTTAAAAACAGCAGCAGGAAGGGCTCAAGGTGTGTGGGAACATCTCCATTGCTTCTCCCAGTGGGAAAGACACTTTGGCTGGTTCAAGGATTGTGGGCTTCCTCCTTTGATCCTTTATCACTTTGAACCTATCAACCCATCCCCTTTTGCATTCCAGGGTTTCTAGCGAGAAATGTGATGAGGGCCTTATGGGGAAATGATGATGAATGCTCCCTCCCTCCCTCTCAACCCCATAGGTGTTAATGTCTAGCTCTAGAGCATCTTAGGCAGCAGAGGGTTTTGTTACAGCATCCCAGTGTAGGTGAAGTGCCACCCTGTCCCTTGGACTCCCAGTCATTGTGAATTGGAAGAAAGAAGAATTGAATACTTTGCGTGTCCATAGGATGAGGTCTTTAAAAGCTGAAAGTTCTTATGGATCTTCAGACTTGAAATGCAGAGACCATGGAAGCATCATAGTGGTGTTGGTCCCTAAACAGGCAAATATCCGCCTGCAGACCCAAGGGAGACAAAAGCCTTCTGGGGGTCTTTTGTTCTTCTTATCATGGAAGTCAAGAGGTCCTGGAGACCCCAAAGTGGGATGACCCCTGGGGGCTATGCCCAGGCATCACTGGGTCATTTCCTGCTCCGACCTCACAAGAAGCCACTGTGAGGTGATCCCCAACACCAGCTATATAAGTGTGTGGCTGTGGGTGGGTGTTTGTCCATGAGTACAGGAAGCTCTTGGTGGTGACCTGTTGGACTTCCAGATAGATAGTGCATTTGGTGGTTGGTGGTTGGTGTTTGTGGTGGTTTGCTGTTGGTTTTTTGATTTGGGTGTTTGTTTGTTTGTTTTGTGTTTTGCTTTTCGGTTGTTGTTTTTGGTGTTCTGTGTGGGTTTGTTATTTTCTTTTTTTTTAGCTAGTAACCTTAGTTGGCGTTCAGGCTCAGGAATGCAGGGAGAGAGTAGTGAGAATAGAGTAGAGGCGCAGGGGCCCAGTTCCTGCTATGAGAGGGCCCTGACGGACCACTACCGAGTCCTGAGTGCCATTGGGGAGGGGAGGTATGGGCAGGTGGTACTAGCGCGCCATCTCCTGACCTGGACAGAGGTGGCGGTGAAAGTGGTGCCAAAGACAGAGAGGAAGGAGAGCACGCTATGCGAACGGGAGGGGTTGATGGCCCTGGAGCACCGCAACATGATGCAGCTCTTCCAGGTCATCGAGACCCCAGACAACATGTATCTGGTCATGGAGCATGCAGGTGGGGGATCTCTCCAGTGTCACATCCCACAGCCTGGTGGCCTCCCAGAGGAGAAGGTCCGCAGAGTTTTCAGGGCGATGGTGCGTGTCCTGCATCACTGCCACCAGCAGGGCTTCGTGCACCTCGACGTCAAGCCACAGAACTTCCTGGTGGATACCAGTGGCCACCACCTCAAGCTCATCGACTTTGGCCTTTGCATGAGTTTCACACCTGGGCAGAAGCTAAAGGAGTTCCGGGGCACGCTCCCATACTGCGCCCCCGAAATCCTGAAAAGGATGGAGTTCGAGCCCCCCCCCGCGGACGTCTGGAGCCTGGGCGTCACCCTGTATTTTCTCCTCACTGGGAAAAGGCCATTCAGGGCGAGCACCAAGAAGAGCCTGCGGAGGCGGATCTTGCAGGGAAGCTTCCACATCCCGGGGCATGTGTCCCAGGGAGCGCGCAGCCTCATCCTGCAAATCCTCAGGGTGGACCCCAGGCAGAGGCCCACCCTAGAGCAGGTAATGGGGCACCCGTGGCTGAGCCAGGCTGAGGACCCCTCACCCAGTCGTCCCAGCCAGCCACTCCCCAGGCAGCAGCCAGACCCCACCATCCTGACCCTCATGTTCGACATGGGTTTCGACCCCTGTACTGCCTGGTTGTCCCTGGCAAATCGCCAGTTGATGAGGCCATGGCCACCTACCTCCTCCTCCAGCACCAGAGACGCCAGGGGGCGGGCTGCGGGCTCTGGGCCAGGAAGCCTGTGGGTCTGGGGGCGGTTGGGCCTTGCCCAGGCCCCGCTGCGGGTCCTCCCAGTGTCCGCCCCAGCAAGTGCCCCAGTGAGCCTGCCCTTGCCTTGCCCTGTGAACAGCAGCGGCCCCAGGAGGCCTGGCCCTCAGGGCAGAAGGGCGCTGCGCCAAGTGCCAGCGAGCCCGCCATTCCTCTCCGCTTGCTCGACGTGAGGACACCCCCTCCCAGTGCAGCCCCCCAGCAGGACCAGGGGCCCCAGTGGCGAATGTACCTCAGGCCCAACACTCGAACCTGGGTGGCAGAAGGCGGCAGCTCGGCCTCCCAGGATCTGTCCACTGGGCAGGCCCAGGAGAGAAGCAGGGGCTGGAGGGGGCTCACCAGGAGGATGGCCACCTGCCTGCGCCAGCTCTGCTGCTGCATGCCCTGCTTCCAAGGGCCCGCGGCCCAAAGAAGAGTGGCTCCGATGGCCGGAGGCCACAGACCCCCTAGGTTCCTCTTCAGAGTGGCCCCAGGGCACGTGCCCTCGTGAGGCAGGCAGGCCAGTGCACAGCCAGAAGACCCCAGCAGGTCTGAGCATCCCGACATCGTGGCGCGGCCACTGGTCAGGAAGCGGATGCCACCACAGCTTCGGAAGTGAGGTGTGCCCACTGGCTCAGACTTGTCCATGAGGATTCCAGCCAGGAGCTCCTCTGGATCCCCCAGCACTCTCCTCTGCCCCCACCTGCCAGTGACATCAGAGACTCTTTCCCCTCAGGCTCCTCCCCCTGCCCTGCTCTTCTCTGCCATAGCAGAGACGGTCTAAATAAATTTGTTTCTCACAGATTGTATAATAAGATTGATATTCAAATGATTTATCAGAAAAAGAAAAACAAATTTAATGTAGGAGGAGGAAGAAAAAAAAAGAGGCAGGCCTCAGGGAAAGGGCAGGCGCCAGGCAGCCATCCTGTCCAAGGCTTGGCCTGAGTTTCCTCCCTCTCCTGTTCAGTTTAAGTTTAGACTCCTGCCCCTTGAGCCTTGTACAATGGGACTCCAAAGTTGATAGCTTTGGCCACAGTGAATCCCTCTCCTAGTCTTCAGGCTTCTCCCTGAGGTGTGTGAAGCAGGTGGGTGGCAGCTGTTGGCAAGACTCTGTCAAGGCATTGGAAACTCTAGAAGTGTTCTCTGGCATCGTCTTCATATACCTATTTGCAGGCAAGTGAGAAGTCAGTTAATGGACAGGTTTTGTCTGCTGACAGCGGTGGCACTATGTTGCCTCTGTAGCCCAAATCTCCTTCTGGTGGCTACTAGGGGTCACAGAGTGTGAGCACGTTTTCTTTGTAGACTGGAGATGTTCAACCATCTCTGTGTTGCTACTTACATCAAAGCCTTTCTCTTTTCTGTTTGTACATCTCCATCACCCTGAATTTCTGGAGAACCCTACATTGATTGTTGGGAAGGTGAATCCTGTAAAGTGAAGCTCGCAAAAACAAAGAGCAAGAAACCCTCAGGTCATTCAGGATGCGAGGCTTCTTGCAGCCTCTCTATTTCATAGTTGTTAATGCTCAAGAGTGTCTTAGGCAGCACAGTGTTTTGTTACAGCATTCTGATGTGCGTGAAGCGCTACAGTCTCTTGGACCTCCAGACATTGTGAGTTGGAAGAAAGAGGAATTGAATATTCTGAGTGTACATAGGATGAGGTCTTTAAAAGGTGAAATTTAATATGGACTTTCAGTCTTCAAATGCGAAACCATTGAAGCATCCTAGTGGCTTTCTTCTAAACAGGTAAATATCAGTCTGCAGATGTAGATCACCAAGCATTCATTACACCACAATGCCGCATGAATAGGAAGTAGTGCAGGACTCAGTGCAAGAGAGTCTTGGGTTTGAATCTTGACTTTGCAGGGAAAGAAAATGCTTCCGGGATTCTTCTTTTTTAAAATATATATATATATATTTAGGTGTAGTTGGACACAGTACCTTTATTTTATTCATTTTTATGTGGTGCTGAGGATCGAACCCAGGGCCTCACACATGCTAGATGAGCACTGTACCGGTGAGCCACAACCCCAGCCCAGGGTGTTCTTCTTTTTATCATAGATGTCAAAAAGGTCCTGGAGCCCCCAAAGTAAGATTGTCTGTCGTGACTGTGTCATTTCTTGCTATGATCTCACAAGGAGCCATTTGAGGTAATCTCAAACATCTCTGATTCCTTAAGTATTATCTAGTAAATGTGTATTTTCATATTTTTGCTTGTTTAAAAATATACTTTTGAGTGTTTACTTTAAATGATAGTTTAGTCCAGTAATTCTGAATTAATGATTATTTCTTCTCAGCACATTGGAGAGAACATTCCATTTTGGAATTCTGTTTTTAGTTGCGAGCAGTTTACTGTTAGCCTATATAGCTCTATCTTATAGTTAGAAATGCAGGACTCAGCAACCTGCCTTTTCTTTCTGATGACCACAGTCTATACTTCTGGTTTCAAGTTTTCTATAATTTCACTAAGTGTGCCTTGGATGTATATGTATTTAGTTTTCTTGTATGAGAGTCCTTGTGGAGGCCCATTTCACTTGGAGCTTCTCCACACCCTTAATGAGGGAGAGGGGAGCACCCTCCACTACACTGATGACTCATGACCCTAGCATTTCCCTTCCACTACTGGATTTGTCTAAGGGAGCTCCCGGGTACGTCTGGAACTAGCAGGGACACTTAGGCTATCCTTTAATAATCCCCAGTTGCTGGGGTCTCTCTTTAGAGTGTGGGGTACTTGATATCTCCTTCTCAGTTTCCATTCTTTAGTGGTCACCTCAGGGCAAGCAGAGGTCCCACTGAACATCTCACTACACATACAATGACCTCACACTATAAAGCAGCTTAATTAGGACACAAATGCAGCTTTAAAAAAAATGCAATCAGGAATATATGCTTAAGTAAATCGCCAAGCCTGCTAAAGGGAAAACTTAAGAAAAGCTTATACATATATGAAAAAGAAAATAAAGGACCCAGAGAGTAGGATGAGAAAGTACAAATAGAAAGTCAAGCAGTCATTGTGCCTTGAGTGAATATTTTGCTAGATGCCACCTATGAAGGCTGGATACCGGAAGAGGTGATTATAGTGGCAAGAGGCTGTGGGGTGGATCTTCCAGATGGACCCAAGGTGGGAGTCACCACCAGCTCTCCCACAGAGGGTAAAGAGCCCGAAAGGGTACTGAACTCACAAATGTATCCAGCCGTGTCTTGCCTTTCTCTTCCTTTCAGAATCTTTTGCTTTTTCTTTCATTAGTAGTGTTGATGTTACTGTGCTAGAGTAGGCCCTTTTCCCTGCTTTTTCACCATGAGTGAATACATTTATTATTATGTGCTGGTCTTTGCTATTTTTTGTTTCATCCTGTTTATCCTATTAATCTCAGCACTGGCCTTCTAACCTCATTATGCTGTGTTTTGTCAAATGACTCCCTGGTGTGTGATCTGATCCTTCCTAGTTCAGCACGAGTCTGCTCTGGTCTACCCAGCCATTGTTGTATCTTGCTGGCTGAGCCTCCTTTGCTGCGGAGGCCACTGTCTGCCTTGCTTCCCCTCACATGTGCTTTGTACTCCCTTGAAGGGGCCACTCATGCAATCAGGTAGGAAGAGATCAATTTTTTCCATGGTGATTTATATTCTACAATAATTGAGCTATCATCAGTGACACTGCTGAGCATGCAAAAGAGGGGGAGCACCTCTAGTTACAGGGAGAGTTCAGTCCTTGAGAGCATAAGAAAACGGTGATAGAACAATCTGGATATCAGAATGAAATGCCAACATCATCAAGGTCTCTGGAAAGCATATGTAAATTTAAAAGAAAGAAATACTCTACATTCAGGGAAAATCCTGCCGAGAGGAACTGAGTTTATATAAGAGATCATGACTTAAGCCAAAGAGGTTCAAACTTTGAAACCTTCTGTCTGTCTAGAGAGTTAGGCAGGAAAGATGTAGGCTGTCCTCTCCTATGGTCTTATTGCATCTAATACAGACATAGGTCACCAACCATTACATCACAATGCAGCATGAGTAGTTAGAAATGCAGGACTCAGCATAAGAGGCTCAGGTTTGAATGTTGACTTTGCTCTTTGCTTACTATGTGACTTTGGTCAAGTGACTCATCCATTCTGAGCTTTTGTTTCCTTGCAACAGAACCTATCATACAGAGTTGTGTTGAGGATCAAAGGTGAAAATCAATGTCTAGAAACTCTTGACACCAGGTTTACAATATTAACCTAGATGATTGGCTTCTCTTTGGACCAGATGGACAAATCTCACATTGACATAAACTTAGATGCCGCAGTCTGGCTGGGCACAAATCATGAGCCACTGAAGCAGGAACAAACTTTATTTTTGAACTCCACCAGCACACTCCACACACACTACCCGTGAACTCTCCCGAACGCCCCCCACGCCACTCCTCCAGGAACCACCAACCGGAAATCCCTCCTCCAGCACTTCCCCAACCAATGGGAACTCTCAGGGAATCCCCGCGAGAACTCCAAAGTAGCAGGCCGAGGAGGACAACAGGGGTCTAATATACACAGCTTAACATAACCATTATCATCTCAATGGCTTGCTGGCGTCACCTCTCAACCACTCTGTTCTGGCAAAAATGCCATGCGTCATTTGGACTCGGCTATGGCGCTCAGCACTTAGATTTGTATTTCCTCTCTTTTTATTTTTTGTTTGTTTGTTTGTTTGATTCCATTAAGCAGAGAGAACATCATGGAAGCTAAATTGTTGCAGAAAGGTGTGATAGCTGAACTTTATGAATATAGAAAACAGAAAGTTAAACAAATGTTGCAACAATTAGTTTTCTGTGTTAACAGTGGTCATGAGGGAGGACGGACCCTTTATATTTTCATGGGGCTTTTAGGTCATGGACCCTCTATTTCTTGTCTTACCTTGTGCTGACCCTACTTGATGTCAGTGCTAAGAATGAATGATTTCTTTATCCCCAGAGCAGTTGAATACAGAGGAGGGAGGAGTAAATCTCGTTTTTAAGGCTGAGATCATCAGCCAAAGGTGGAGGAATATGGAAGAGTCCAGAGAGCAAGCACATGAGACTTTTGGGTTCCTTTCTGTCTTTGATTATAAAACCTGCCACACCAGAACCTTGGGAATGTCACCATCTTCCCCCTCCTTGCTGTAGTCAGAGTCTGAATGCAGCTCAGAAGGGAGATGTTGGAGCAGAGCGCCTGGCTTTCGAGTCAGGCAGACCTGGATTGGATCCTGCTAAATGGTCAGTGCCCTGTAAACCGTGTCTATTATTATTTTTTACACCCAATTCAGCATTTGTACTTCAGCCACACTGCTCCTTAATCTCCCCTTGAATGTTGTGTGTAGAGGAGCCTCTGAGTGATTAGTTTTGGATTCTTAGCTTTCATATTCTGTGTTTTGAGTTCTGTCCATGTAGCCAACTTACCCGGGCTAATTGCAGTAATCTCAGTACTGAAGCCATTTCATAGCTACAGGGTTGGTTCCAAAGCATTCATGGAGGAGTGACAGGTCATTCTGGGATGGGCT